TCATTTGTTATTTGTTTAGGAGATAATAACAACATTCGAATAAATGCGATAGTGAAACCTTAGTTGTAAAGAAATTCTATGTGGGATCGACCTCAACTCTTGTTGAGTTCTGTAAATTAACTTTGATAGTTTACACTTCTTATTTGAAGTGTAAGTTTGGACATATCAAATTTTGGCGCCGCTGCCGGGTAATTTCAATTCAGAAGTGTTTTACTAGCTTTTATTCGATTGTAGTTATATTTCGTAATTTTACATTTTGTTTGGTATTTGTGTCTTTTTCGGGAGAGTCAGATTGTGCATGCGCAACACTAGATACAAAGGAGCCCCATTGCTTCCTTACGACCCTGAATTTCAGAGAACTCTTCGAAAGATGGTTAATGCACAAGAACTAGAGGCTCAGAGACACAGACTGGGACAAAAAGCTGAGATTGATGCTGCAAGCAATGTACATCAAATTGCAGGAATCAATCAACCTAGGCCAGGTTTTCAGCAAAATACTGGAATCAATCAACCTAGGGTAGTAGTGGAGAACAGAGAGGAGGAAGGAGTAGCCCATCCCCAGCGCCAACTAATAGCCCAAAGGTGTAAAGCTCAACATCCAACTCATATGATGTATGAAGAAGATGATGCTAACTTGGACGGAGCTGGAGCCACTGGAGCCATAGTGCTACCTGCACTACCTCCAGGTGTTAAGTTCACAATCACTAGCACCATGATTCAATTGCTGAACCTGAAAGGTATGTTTAGAGGTGCAGCTAGTGATGATGCAAATCAACACTTGATGAATTTTGTTGCAATATGTAAATCACAGGATATTCCTGGGGTCAACCAAACAGCAATGAGGTTGAGGCTATTTCCATTGTCTCTTACTGGAGAGGCAACTAACTAGTTGAATTAGATGCCAGATGACTCCATCCGAACTTGGAATGTGTTAAAGGAAGCTTTCCTAGAACGATTCTTCCCAAAATCAAAAGAGCTACAAATGAAGGACGAGATTAGTACACACAAGCAGCTACCAAGAGAGGCAATGCATGATACTTGGTGGAGATTCAGTCGAAACCTGAAGAAATGCCCCAACCATGATCTTACCGAAAGGCACCTTAAATAGGACTTTTATAGGTCTCTGAATTATGTTACTAAACCTGTTGTTGATGATGTTTGTGAAGGCTCATTTATGAGGAAGTCATTTGCGGAGAGCTTGCAGCTATTGGATGAGGTCTCAAAGAACAACACAACATGGTACACCAGAGATGCAAAGGTAGGAGAGATTGGTTATACATTTGATCTTTCAATTGAGCAGAGGAACAGAGAAGAAAAAAGAGACCAAGATATGGCACATATGAGGACTCAGATAGATTTGCTCACAAAGCACATTGTCGCCAAGTGTGAAAAGTTGAATGTTGTAGGACCGCAAAACAGGTATGAGGATCAGGATCTAGACCTTGATGAGGAAGCTAACTACTTGAGGAACCAAGGGGGTTTCCGAAATTATAACTCTGGAAATCAGGGTTACAATTTTGGAAATGCAGGTCGGAGTTATGCTAGGGATGGTCAGTATGATAGGCCAGTAAATAGAGAGCAGGGAAATTGGCCGAATAGAGATGGGTATAGGAATGATCAAAATGGTGTTTATGTACCCCCAGGTAATAGAGACCGGGGAAGTGGTAGTTCAAGCGGGTCTAAGCTGGAAGACATGATGGCTAAAGTACTCTAGAAGGTTGAATCAACTGATTCAGGAGTAAAAGAGATGAGAGGGGATTTTTCGAGCATAAGTCAATTGGAAGACTCTCACACTACCTCCATCAAGAAAATTGAGCAACAGTTAGAGAAACTCTTTGCCTCACTAATTCAAAGAAATAATGTGTCGCTGCCAAGTGACACCATTCAAAAACCAAAGAAGGACGGGCATTGCATGGCCATATCCACCAGGAGTGGTAGAATTCTTTCTGACCCTATTCCTGCAGGTACTAATAATGAACATGTGTTGGAGCAAGCTGGCAGAGAGGTTGATGAAGCTGTGCAGGTGGATGACATGGAGGATCCTCAGCCTAAAGTACTACCTCTGAGAGGAAAAAGGAAAGAGGTCGAGAAAGACATGCCTTTACAACAAATTCCCAGGCCACCTCTTCCTTTCCCTCACAGGCTCAAAAAGAAAGCTGAGGATGGGATGTTTACAAAGTTCATCACCATGTTGAAGTAGCTTTCAGTAAATATACCACTGGTGGAAGACCTGGAGCAGATGCCAGGATATGCCAAGTTCACGAAGGACTTGGTTACAAAGAAAAGAGCTGTAAGTCTTAATTTTACTAATGATGTTCATCATTACAATGCCATTGCGACCAAATCTTTGGTTTAGAAAAAGGAAGATTCATGTGCATTCACTATCCCATGCACCATTGGGTCAATCAGTTTTACAAAAGAATTGTGTGACCTAGGAGCCAGCATCAATTTGATGCCATTAGCCATCTACAAGAAACTGGGGTTAGGAGATCCAAGACCCATATCAATGAGGTTCATGATGGCTGATAGGTCGGTTAAGCGGCCTGTAGGAGTCCTATATGATGTACTTGTGAAGGTGGACACCTTCATTTTTCCGGTTGACTTCGTAATCTTGGATTGTGAAATAGACTTTGAGGTTCCCTTCATCTTGGGAAGACCATTTCTTGCCACTGGAAGGGCCTTGGTTGATGTTGAGAGAGGAGAGCTAAAGTTCAGACTGAACAAGAAGGAGGTAAAATTCAATATTTGAAGGTCAATGAAGCAACCCAATGATATGAATGTGATATCTGCAATAGAGGTGGTTGCTGATTAAGACATGAGGGTACCCACAGAAGAGAGAATGGCGGTTGAAATATTAGCAGCAGTGCTGATGAACTTTGATGCTGATTTCCGGTTTGACTATGTAGAGACCGTGATTTTTTTGCAGGGGATGGGAGCACACTCGTATGCTCCAAAGAAATTGTACCTGGACTTGAAAAATAGGCTAAGTCCTCCAGCAAAACCATCCATTGAAGAGCCACCGGTGCTAGAGTTGAAACAATTACCTAGTCACCTCAGGTATGTATTTTTGGATACTAATAACACTTTACCTGTGATTTTGGCTGCAAATTTAAATAAAGAGTAGGTGAAGGAGGTGATCATGGTGTTGAGAAGGTACAAAAGGGCCATTAGGTGGACCATTGCGGATATAATTGGAATACCTCCGGGTATATGCACCCACAAGATTCAGCTTGAGAAGGATTGCAGTCCAAGAATTGAACACCAGCGGAGACTAAAGCCACCTATGCAAGAGGTGGTGAAGAGAAGATAATCAAGTGGTTAGATGTTGGGGTTGTCTACCCCATTTATGATAGTCACTAGGTCAGTCCAGTGCAATGTGTGCCTAAATAGGGCGGTATGACTATCGTGGCAAATGCCAAAAATGAATTAGTCCTACAAAGACCATTCACTGGATGGCGAGTATGCATGGACTACAGAAAGCTCAATAAATGGACTTTGAGGGATCATTTCCCCATGCCCTTCATGGACGAAATGCGTGATAGGTTAGCAGGTAAAGGGTGGTATTGTTTCTTAGAGGGGTACTCTGGCTACAACCAGATATCAATTGCTCCTGAAGATCAGGAAAAGGCCACCTTCACATGTCCTTATGGCACCTTTGCGTTTAAACGTATGCCATTTGGACTATGTAATTCACCAACAACATTTCAAAGGCGTATGATGTCCATCTTCTCTGACATAGTGGAAGACACTTTAGAGGTATTTATAGATGATTTCTCTATAGTAGGTGATACTTTCGATGATTGTTAGTTGAATCTTAGCAGGGCTTTACAGAGATGTGAGGAGGCCAACCTGGTGCTGAATTGGGAGAAGTGCCATTTCATGGTGAATGAGGGCATAGTTGTTGGACACAGGGAATCACATAAAGGGATCGAGGTCGACAATTTCAAGATTGAAGTGATTGAAAAGTTACCTCCGCCGATCTGTGTGAAGGGTGCTCGAAGCTTCCTAGGACATGCCGGATTCTATAGGCGTTTCATCATGGACTTCTCCAAAATTGCACACCCTATGTGCAAGCTTTTGGAGAAGGAGGTGCAATTTGTCTTTGATGAGGCATGTCTCAACGTTTTTGAGTGCTTAAAGAAAAGCTGATTTCAGCACCAGTGATTATTGGCCCAGATTGGGAAGAACCATTTAAGGTGATGTGTGATGCTAGCGGGACTGCTTGAGGAGTTGTGTTGGGACAAAAGCGCACCAAGATATTCCATCCGATTAACTATGCTAGTAAGTTGCTAAATGGGGCACATCGAAACTACATAGTCACTTAGCAGGAACTATTGGTTGTAGTGTATGCGTTTGAAAAGTTCAGACCTTACCTGTTGGGCACTAAGGTGATAGTTCACACAGACCATACTGCCTTGAGATATCTCATGGCAAAGAAAGATGCCAATCCTAGGCTGATCCGATGGGTATTTCTTCTCCAAGAGTTTGACTTCGAAATGAAGGACAGGAGAGGTTGTGAGAACCAAGTAGCTGATCACCTGTCTAGGTTGCAAGCTGCAAAGAAGGAAGAACTTGAGCTCGAGATAAATGACACATTCCCGGATGAGCAGGTATTAACTGTTACTCTTGACCTTATTCCTTGGTTTACTGACTATGCTAATTTTCTGGTTAGTGATTTGATGCCTGAGGGGCTGGCATATCAACAAAGGAAAAGGTTCGTGCATGATGTAGGCAAATACTTTTGGGATTAACCATATCTATACAGGGTGTGTGATGACAATATAATTAGTCGATGTGTTTCGGAAGCCGAAATGTTGCACATTTTGGAGGTCTGTCACTCATCTCCAGTTGGTGGTCATCATGGTGGTGCTCGAACAGCCTACAAAATACTTCAATGTGGGTACTACTAGCCCATAATTCATCAAGATGCAGTGGACATAGTAAGGAGCTGTGATGTGTGCCAGCGGTAAGGAGCCATCTCTCGGCGCCATGAGTTACCTATGACACCTATTCTGGAGGTGGAATTGTTTGATGTGTGGGGTATTGACTTCATGGCCCCATTTGTGAGTTCATATAGGAAGAAATATATACTGGTGACAGTGGACTATGTGTCCAAATGGGTTGAAGTTGTTGCATTACCTGAGAATGATGGAAAGAGTGTTGCTGGGTTCCTGAAAAAGAACATTTTCTCAAGGTTTGGAACACCTAGAGCCATTATCAGTGATGGTGGTTCTTACTTTTGCAACAAGGTTTTTAGTGCACTTCTGACCAAGTATGGGGTAAAACAACACAAGGTGGCAACACCTTATCACCCATAGACCAGTGACCAAGTGGAGGTCTCCAATAGGGAAATTAAATCAATCTTGGCAAAGACAGTGAATGCCAACATAACAGATTGGGCACCAAAGCTTAGATGATGCTCTATGGGAATATCGGACAACTTTCAAGACATCTATTGGTATGTCTCCATATCAATTGGTGTTTGGAAAGGCATGTCATTTGCCAGTTGAGCTTGAGCATAGAGCACTCTGGGCGTTGAAGAAGCTGAACCTAAGTTGGAGCGAAACCACAAACTTGAGGCTGGATCAGATCAATGAGATGGATGAGTTCCGTCTGAGGGCCTATGAGAGGTCTGCACTGTATAAGGAGAGGATGAATCTATATCATGACAAGAATATTGAGAAAATAAGCTTTACTCCTGGTGACTTGGTGTTACTCTTCAACTCCAGACTGCGTCTGTTTCCAGGAAAACTGAGGTCTAAATGGTCTGGACCTTTTAAGGTCACACATGTGTTTCAATCTGGTGCTATTGAACTAGAGAATGATAAAGGTGAGAGGTTCAAAGCTAATGGCCAGAGAATCAAGGCTTTACTAGGTGTCCCTAATGATGTGAAGATTGTCGAGGAATGCAAACTTGATAAAGTCTGAGTAATCCAGTAACCTGCATCGCGCTGCGTTGTTAAATTGTGCGTTGCTTGGGAGGCAACCCAAGATGTAATTGTATTAGGTATTTTTCCCTTTCTCCTTATTTTTCTTTGTTTTTATAGAGTCACTATGTGCTGATGTGTGCTAGTAATCTTAGGTGAAAAATTGCAGAAACTGGTGCAGACTAAACCTCACGGACCGTGGTGTCCTTCACGGGCACTTTCACGGTCCGTCAACTTTGGGACAAACATGAGGGGTCTACTGGAAATTGCATGAAAAAGGTTCAGGGAAGGGTTTACGATCCATCAGTGCTTGTACGGACCTTCTACCCTCTCGTGAACCTCATGTATGAATACCAAGTGTCCAAGTTTACATCACGGGATTTTTCACGAACCGTGGTGCTTGTCATGGACATCTTCACGGTTTGTCGTCAGCCCCAGGTAAGATTTTCATTCCAAGTCCGGTCCACATACAGTCTCACGGACCATTGTGCCATTCACGAGCACTTTCACAGTCTGTGGTCTACACCCAGTCCTCCCAAATCCAACCCGACCCATGCGTAGTTGATTTAAAAATCATGAAGTGTATAATTGATTCCAAGCGAAATAAGGGTCAGATTTTAATTTTTTCCCGCTTTCCCTCCCATAACGGTCCTGAAGAATTAAAGGTACTTCCCACAACTAATCGATCCCAGCTTCTTCACCAAAGTCTATGCCCTAATTCTACAATCTCCTCATGAGTCCCTCTACGCTGCTGCTTCACCTATTTGGATCGAAAAGTGTGTTTCTACTCTGTAAGTAAATTCTTTAGTCAAGGTAAGCCTACATAATTTGATTGAGATAATTTATGTCGGTGTAAGAGTGCACTAACATGATTGTATTGAACTGTTGTGTTTTGAATTAAGTGGGTAGTTGGATTCTTGATTGTCCGAGTTGGTTGTGAATTCTAGGATAGTGATTATATTGATTAGGAATTGAGATGATGCTTAAGATAAAGGAAGGTTGTGCATTTGTGTTAAAATGGGGGTTAATTGCTAGAACTCGGTATTAAGACGAAGGTGAGTGAACTACTGGTCAAGTGTAAGAACACGACCGGTTTCATGGATCGTGGAAGAGACCACGGGCCGTGAAACCTGTCGTGGACAACACTTGCATCAACCCATCCATCAAACAAAGTTCACGGGTAGTGTCACGATCCGTGGTGCACTCCACGGGCCGTGAAGCTGTTCGTGAACACCCCTTGGTAAAAAGTTCCACAGTCCATCTTGCACACTGACTCTGTCCCAACCCCACGAGTGATTTCACGGTCCGTGGTGCATACCATGGCCCATACAAGTTCTCGTACAGTCTACTTTAGTTGTACAATTTTAAATTTTTTCTGTTTTCACTTTTTGTTCGTTGTTGGTTTCGTGGCCCTTCTCGATGATAGATTGGGTGACGGCATTCTTAAGGCAAGGCGTCAAGATGAAATTACACAGGGGAAATCTGAGTACCCGATAGTGTGTCATTTGACTGTGTGATTACTAATGAGCTCTCTATTTCTCAGGTACAATGGGTCCCAGAAGAAAGAATGCTAACAAACCTGCCCTCGTCACGGCTTCGCAATCAGAGGGTCATGACGACTCCGAAGTGAGTGGGTTTGAGGTGCAAATAAATGTCACACCTGAAGATCACTCGCCTCAGGCTACTAGATCACTGGCTAGAAGAGCTATTCTCCAAAACTCTCCTCCTCAGGTTGAGGATAGAGGTAGCAATTCTGATAACGGGGAAAACCCAGGAAGTCAATCTGATGCTGCTGCTGGCAGCTAATCTGCAGATGACTCGGGGGGCAGTGCTGAATCTGAAAGCGGTTCTCAGGATGACACAAATACCTCTCCACTTGTGGCTAATACAGAAGTTGAAACTGGAGTACGAGAGGAAGTAGTTAATAGAGAAGATGAGGAGGAAATCACCAATGATGATACCATGGTGATGTATGTGAATGCTCAGGAACCTAACCCTGCATTGAGACCACAGTTGATTGCCTATTATCGCTCCATGTGGACTGTCAATCAGTCTAAAGAGTTCTTCGACAATGGCATTGTGAACAAAACTGGAGGCTTCAAGAATCGAGCAATCATTCCTGAGACTAAGGTAGTGGTAGATGATATCAAAGCATTCATGGACAACTATCGAATATTTCAGCTTCATCAGTTCGACTGGATGGATAATGCACCTCGCGAATACTCTAGCCACCTGACCAGAGAATTTTATTCCTCTTATACAGCTACATTGATGAATTTTTCTGCGGATACAGAGACCACGAAACGTGGATAGAAAGACATGGCTATTACCTGGGGTCCACTCAACTCAATCATAGTTAGAGGCAAATCAATAAATATTTATGAGGTTTCGATTAACAGAATATTGTACGGCCAAGAATACTCAGCACCAGCTTCAGTTGGCCTTTTCGAGGGCAAACATCATGAGGTCACCAGTGATGCTAGGATGGAAGATCAGACTTCTCGAGAAAGGGTTTTCCGCTGGATTGAGAAGCAGATTGCCATAGATAGGGAAAATGAAGTTTGGGTCACCATAACTCCAACACTCATCACTAAAGCTTCGCTGTCTTTTCCAGCCAAGGTTTAGTGGGCTATCATCCAAGCAAAATTGCAACCGACAGCTAATGATAACATTTTGTCACCTTCATTGGCCTCATTGGTAGCCTGTCTTATGGTTGGTTACCCGATCAATGCGGGACAGATAATAGCAATCAAGATGAGAGACAGGGCGCTAAATGAGAGAGCTACACTTTCTTTTCCTTGTATGATAGGGAAATTATGTCGATGAGCGAACATTCCTCCGAACAGCCTGGTTGACAGATGGGGTGAGACATTTAGACTAACCTAGGTTTCTAAAATCAAGGATGTCGCAAACCATCTCTTTGGTGCGAAATCTGCCGTTGTGATTACTTTAGTTGTTGTTCCACATGTCCAAATTGATATCCCACATCCAGATAGCGGTCCAGCATAAGGAGAGTCATCACAGCCTTCCACAGAGGCACCACCACCTCCAGTTTCGGCCTCCCAGGCTCTAGGTACCTTTGTCACTATCCCTATGCTTTTTCTTGAGAAATTGGTTGCAGATCAGTGCCAGACCAGGACATTGGTAGACCAGATTATGCTCCGGATGCCTCAGTTGATAGAGACAAAGGTGTTAGCTATGATAAATGAGATCAAAGATAAGATGAGGACGGAGCTATCGGTCTTAAATGACATAATGGATTGTTTGGAGAACCTTGTTCAGGATCAATTCCAGGCTGTCGGTTAAGCAGATATTGAGCCCGGTTAGCTAAGATGTGCACTCAGATTGCTAAGCTGGCTGAAAAGCCAGTACATGTGCCCACTCCGGTCATGCTAGAGTCGTTGATGCAAATGTTAAATCAGGCACCGTCCACTCAATCAGAGTCCTTGATGCAAATGTTAAATCAGGCACCCTCCACTCAATCAATTGATGATCATTGGGGGGAACCCCCCAAGAGTAAATCCGGCAAGAGAAAACACAAAGCTAGAGAACTTGATGAGGAGACCCCTACTGACCCAGCCAGAGAGGCAAGAAGGCAAGAAAAGAGAGCTTGTAGAGCATCAAAGAGGGAAGATCAGGTAAAGGAAGCCCTTGAAGAGCAACAACGAGATGTAGCCTTAGTTGGAGCTTATGGTAGTGGAGCACCTGCTCTGACTAATGAGGACCAAACTGATCATGTCCCGAGTTCTGTGAGTACACCCATTGATAAGTGTGTCAATGTTGATCCGACGATCGGTGGATAGGGTGCCGTAGGTATAACCCCTCCTCATAGCCTGTGTGTTTTATTGTTCTGTTCTAACTTTGAGGGAAAAACCCTTTTTATTTGGGGAGGGGTGGTGAGCAACCTGCCATAATTGTTAGAAAAATGGAGGTTGTCTCTATGTATTACTATTTTGGGTGTTTTATGTGTTGTGCTGTGCAGCAGCTAATCTGTGAAAATTGAGAACCTGAATCTGAGTTTGACTGTTAGGATCTTTAGATGACAGCTTAGATACTGATATGTTGAACATGGCTAATCTAACAAATTAATTGGTGAGCCAAGAAACTAAAAAAATTGCAATCTTATGTAGTGTGTGTGTAAGTTTTGATTGAAGTCTAACACTAGGAGCAGAAACTAGAACTTGCCTAAGTAGTCTTGCTTGAATCTGAGAATAACCAGATAGGAAAGGATCAGTAGCCCATTTTTGTTAAACCAGTCAAAAGCCAAAAATAAAAGAACCAAATGAAAAGCTTATCACTTGAACCCAATTTGAGCCTTAAATCAGTCTTTGTTCTTACCCAACATATATCATATCCTTGGTTCTCCGAAGGTACGATATCACAACTCAGGCCAAAAGCCTAAGTTGAGGGTGATTGCAATCCGAACAGAAAGAAAAAGGGAAAATGAAGGTTCGACCAGTGAGCTAAGTGCATATCAAAATTGCATATAAAAAAGAGAATAAAAGAAAAAGAAAATACTACCTACTGGATCTGGCTGAAATAAGAAAAAGAGGGAATCACTCAGAAAAGAGTATGTGAAAACGACACTTTGGAAAACCAAGGGATTAGTCACTCACGAAACCAAATATCCATTCCCTAGCCCCGAGCCTATGTTACAAGCCAACAAAGTCCTAGAGTGATCCTTTTCCAGGTGTTTGAAAGGTAAAGTGTAGAAAGCAAGGGCAAGACTATGGTAGTTTGTTGTTAGTGATAGAAATTCATTTAGAGCGTGAGCGTAGTACTCAGTCCCTACCATTATGAGCAAGGGACTTCTTTGATGTGAGGACACAGTGGTTGCATTTGAAAGTAGATTGTGTCAGTTGATAATTCGTAGGTATAAGCATGATTGACTGTTAGTAATGAGATGTCATGTATTGATCCTTACATGTTAGATTCATAGGTTTGGGATACAAATTATACTTGAAATAGTTGTTGCGTAGTGTCATAAATCTAGAATTGAAT